TACTTTTTTTAAAATGAATAAACTTCATACCATACCATACCATACCAATGGTGTTGGAACCAAGGAAACTGCAAAGTCTGGCTGCAGAGTTGGAGAGAAGGAGAGCTTTAATGTAGTGTCATGCCAAAAACCTCCAGCTGCACTTGAAGTAATTGTCAAGCCTGAGTCTCCACTTTAAGTTTACTTTCCTTTACTCTCACTGTCTCATTTTGTTTTGCTTTCTCTTGCTGCTGCCTGTTTGTCGTTTCCATGCCAGCAATGAAATGCAATTCAATCCGTGCACACATGAGCACAGACAGACAGGTGGATCACAGATGCACATGCACAGAAAAATTATAGTGAGATTATCCCATCAAAGTCACAGAGCTGAGGAGAACAAGCAGCAGTGTGGATGTCAGTATTAGCAACACAAAAAAGTTGGTTTATTTTATATTCTGTCATCTTTCCCATTTGTTGACTTCAGCTTTTTGAAACTAATGTGATGTTACAATGTCATGCTTGAAGACAGAACCTCCTCTGTCTGTCCCATCACTACTATTACACCCTGTTAGCTGCAGATAATCAGGTAGTTTTGTTGAGACAACTTGTTGCAAACTCCCACAGTACCTCAGTGACCTGCACTATAATGCTTCAGTAAAGCTGCTCTGTCAGCAGAGCACATTTTTTCCTCCGATGGTCACAAAAAATGTCTCCCAGGCTGTTGATCCTCTGCTATATGAGAGCTGGTATAAAATAAAATAAAAATAAACTAAAGTTATCAAAAATTGCAACATCTCCAATGTCACAGAAAGGACTTGCAAGTAATTGTTGAGACAACTTGTAAACTCCCACAGTACTTCACTGACCTGCATTGTAAAGCTTGAGTACTGCTGCTCTGTCAGCAGAGTGTACTTTTACTTTCATTGGGTAGAAAAAGGAGATCTGGATAAATTAATCAATTAATTAATAAGTAAAGGTGGCAGATAGCGCAATTGGTGGAGCTGTTGCCTCTCAGCAAAAAGGTTGCCAGTTCAAAACCCGGCTGGAGACCTTTCTGGGTGGAGTTTGCATGTTCTCTCCGTGCATGCGTGGGTTTTCTCCAGGTACTCCAGTTTCCTCCCACAGACCAAAAACATGCATGTTAGGCTGACTGGTAACTCTAAATTGTCCCTAGGTGTGAGAGAGTGAATGGTTGATTGTCTCATTTGTCTCTGTGTCCCTGTGATGGACTGAGACCTGTCCAGGGTGTCCCGCACCTCTCGCACAGTGATGGCTGGATATGGGCACCAGCGACCCCCACGACCCAAAGAGGAAGAAGTGGGTAAAGATGAATGTATGGATGGATGGATGTATGGATGGATGGATGGATGGATGGATGGATG